TTTTCCAAAATAGTTGACTTAAAATAGGTCTGACTTCAAAGGATCTAGGGATTTCTCTTCTAGAAGTCTGAGATGCTCTAACAAATCAAAATAAGACAACTCTATATCAAAATATTAGAAAATAAGTCTTAATTATCATGAGTCCATAATGTGTATATTTTAATTTGAATAATTGTCTCAAATTATTTGTTTGATATATTATTTATTTACTATAAAAAATGACTATGTCTAGATGCAAGTGTAACCTTGGTGGTTAAACTGAAACACTGTGCATCTGATAACTCATGAAGTAGTAGAATCACAGAATCATATTAACGAACATATCAGCAGTACAGAAACGTTGACTCTTCCCTTTGCATGAACAGTTTAACTATCACATCATTTGATGGACCAAAAGGTGTATCTCCCTGACAAAATGGATTAGAGTCACAAAGCTGTAAGTAACAGGAGTATATTGCCTTTCATCCTCCTCTCCACTCACGGGGCTCGTAGTGACTCGTTTCCTCTTTAGCGCCTTTGCCCAAGGCAACAAACGGAAGGAATTGCAGGTAACAGTTTATCAAATGCTCGTAGTCAGTCGGCTCCCTCTCCCCCTGTCACTCAGCATCATTTTACCAGCAGAGCCCTGACCCAGGTGTGCCAGGAGCTTGGAAGTTCGGAAGGTGGGATGCAGCTGTCACATGAAAGATGGATGATGTGCATTTTATGTTTTCAGTGTGCATTAGAGGATCCGAGAGCGGGCGCCCTAATGAAAGGTGACACCTCACCAGCGATACCAGGGAAGCCTTGGGAGAAGAACTGGGAGCAGTTTCGGCGTGTGATAGGAATGGACAGGAGGAGACACTTGGTGGTTCCTCTACAGGGGCTGCAGGTTTGCTGCTGAATTTCCTGCAGCGGAAACGTGCACAGCACAGGCCTTATCAAAATCAACAGGGCTGCTCACGGCATTGCTACCCAGGCAAGGTTTGAGAGAGTAATGGCAGTTTAAATACAGTTTTATAAACAGAAATAATTTTTAAAACACGTTTTAAATTATTATATTGCTTTGCTATTGGTGTAATAAGTCAATTTCGTTTGCTGCAGAAGTTATACATTTAAAAACATACCATCACACGCACGAGGAAGGAGTTTTCTCTCAACACGAAAAGCTGTCCATATTTTTTTTTTTTTAGTGAGGTAGAAATTGAGGAAAATAATCTAAATATAGATTTGCACTTAAAATTGAAATGCAATTAAAATTTGCATTTAAAATATCAATAAAATTTATAATATGAAAATTCACAATATTTAAACTTAATTTCATTTTTGCCTTTTTCACTGTAGTCAAGGAATAAATGAATAAACAGTGAAAATAACAAATAAAGGACTGCTTTCCATTGTAAACAATGAGAAGAGCTGCTTGCTGTCGTTTTCGTATAAATGCTAAAGATCAAGGCTTTTCTCACAAAATTGCTCCATTTTGCTGTTCATCATCCACAATAGCTGGCCCTGACCCTGCACCGTGTTGTGGTTGTGAAGGTGGCTCCAGTCTGCCACCTCCAAGTGGCCTTTCCTCTTTGGCACGGAATTTTCCCAATGTTTTTAAGACAACCAGGACCCGGAACCACCATTCCCGTCCTCTCCGTTTCTCCAGCAACTGCCATTTTGATGCTTCCTTTAAGATCTGTGGCCCAGACTGGCTCTCTCCTCCCTCTCTCCCGGTGTCCACGTATCCCACACGCCAGCTGATCCCCCGTGGAGCTGCTGCTCGCCCAGTGGGCACCACATGGCTCCTGCAGGGCCTTGGATCCTCTCCTTGGCTCTGCTGTGGGCAGGATCTGCAGGGCCACTGCCTTTATTTTGGTCAGGATGGTTGATGGCCGTGGAAATGCTGCACGTAGGTGCCTTAATGCTGGCTTGGTTGGATGATCCAGCAGTTTGGATCAAGCCTCCAGCTCTCCTTTGGTACATTTATTCTCTACTATGGCGTAGTATTTGCTCTCATATTAATTTACATTTCCTATTATATCTCTAATGGGAACTCTTGAACCAGTCATTACTTTCTCCATATGTTAAATGTTCATTTTACAGCTATTAGTATTCTGCCCAGGCTATGTATCTCTTAAATGCTAATTTTGGACATTTCCCAGTTTTCCTGTCTTCCTCTGTACAATGTCCCCAGCGTGTTCAGTAGTCCTTGGATGGGCTGAATAAACCCAGCTCATTAGACAAACACAAATTTCCTGTAGGTCCCATTTTCATGCACATTGTTTCAACAGAACATTTTTAAGCCCTTCTGAGCATTGCTTTAGCCTGCCACGTGTACAGCTTTCTCAGAAAATAATCTCCTAGTTTTTTGCAGCCTGATTGCTCTTCATCCAAGTGCTGACGTGCTGCTTTTTAGGCAAATCTTCCCACCGCACGTGATGCTGCTGATCATTTTTTCTGGCTTCAGGCCTCCAGAATCAACAAGTGTAAGAAGTGAAGGACAGGTCATCCTCAGATCAGTCAGCAGCATGATTTCTTACTGCTTCAGTGGGATCAATTGTATCCCCAGCATCTGAGGTAAAAAATATAAAATGCATCAATAATTTTCTTGCTGGAGTTGTAACATTTGAACACTTCTGGTTTTATGTCGAATAAAGTTTTATTCCTGCCTTTTATGCTGTCTTTCATTTTGATGCTGGTGTAAACATCAGGCTTCATAGTTTTTTTTCCCCCTTTATGTATGTATATACTTTCTTTAGATGCTTTCCAAAATTATGGCTCTTGTAGCTACTTTTACAAATGAACCTGCAGAATGTGTGCAGATGGCCTCTGCAGGAAGAGTTCTCTCTCTTTCCCCTTCTAGTCCAATAAACATTGATTTATAAAATGTGGAACAGATCCCACAGGACACTAGAATATTCAGTAGCTTGGTAAATATGCAATGATCTAGGATATGCATTCAAATATTTGTTCCACATCATGGAAGCAAGCATGATTTAAACTAAATTATGTCTTTTTTTTTTTTTTTTTTTTTTTTTTTTTTTTTTTTTTTTTTTTGTAAACCTGTTGGCTCTTCTCTCATTTTTACTATCAAGATGAGAAGATGAGAAAATTGTGCTTGGGCTACCAGAGCAGATCATGTGGGCAAAGTGAAGAAATCAGGTAAAGATGGAAGATAACAACATCCCCTTGGGAATGATCTAACACTAGTGTTTAAATATGCTTTGTAAAGAGGACTCTTAGTCTTATTTGTTAGAAGATAAACTGAGTGGTTCCTTGCATCAGTGAGTGGGATAAGAGTAATGATTTTACTGTAAGGAATTGCACCAAGATTAGTGGTAATAGCAGAGATGCTAATGTCTTTGTTTAGGAGAAAGTATGAGAAAAGAAGTCAAAACGTTGCTATGCTGTGTCTCACCTTTCTTTTATAGAGGTGAGTACACAAGAGAGTATCACCAAAGTTAGTTCTTGAGCAGGTGCTGCACACCAGACACTCTCTGTATGGTTTAGCTGAAATTCCATTTTCCATGTGAACAGAGGTGCCCTCTCTGTGCTTGACTTCAGCCAGATATCTCTGGCCCATCGTGGACTGTTCTGTCTCAGTGATGGTGTGTTGGATCACGAGCCCCATGAGGCACTAAAGGCTGAGAGGTGTCCTTTGTCACCCCAGCCCCTCATCACTCCTGCTCCAAGTTAAGTACCTGCTGTGCTCCAGGGCTGAATCCATTCACCTGCACAGGGAAGGGCCTTTCCCTCCACAGGGACGCAACTGAAGCCAAGGATCTCTGCAGCTGCAGGGAAGCTTTTCTGTTTATTTAGTCCACGGAAGTTTGTGTGAAGGAATAAATGAGTTGGTCAGGAGAAGGGCAGGCGGTGCAGGGGTGAGGTGCCTTCCCCGACCTTTGTTCCCAGGTCGACCTTGGCCCTTGCCGCAGCTGGTATGGGTGAGAGGGGCAGAGGTCCCAGAGATCCCAGCAACTCACAGATTCATTGAGCTTGGAAGACCTCTAAAATCATTGAGTCCAACCTATGACCGAACACCACCCTGACAATTAGACCCTGGCACCAAGTGCCAACATCCAGCCTTCCTTTAAACACCTTCAGGGACCGTGACTCCACCACCTCCCTGGGCAGCCCCTTCTGATGTCTAATCACCCTTTCTGTGAAGAAATTCTTCCCGATGTCCAACCTCAACCTTGTGTGGCACAGCCTGAGACTGTGTCCTCTCGTCCTGTCGCTGGTTGCCTGGGACAAGAGACCGGCCCCCACCTGGCTACATCCTCCTGTCGGGGAGGTAGAGAGCGATAAAGTCACCCCTGAGGGGGATCAAACACCCCCAGCTCCCTCAGCCGCTCCCCATCGGACTTGTTCTCCAGCCCCTTCACCAGCTCCGCTGCCCTTCTCAGGACACGCAGCTGTGCCTCTGGACACAACCGCGGAGCCGCCCGATCCCGGTAAGCTCAGCCCGGCGGCTCCAGCACCGGCGTTTGAACCGGCCGAGGCTGCTGTTCCCGGAGGCTCCGGGGCCGCAGGGGGACCCTCGGGACTGCGCTGGCGGTCGGGGCCGTGCGGGGCAGGTCCGGCCGGGTCCCGGATCCCTCCAGGTCCCGCCGCCGTCGCTCGGCAACAGCCCCGCGGTGCCGGGCACGGCCGGAGCCGCCGCAACCCGGAAGCAGAGGGGCGGAGGGGGCGGGCGGGGGGCGGTGGCGGGGCGGGACAGGGCTGCCCGCCCGCTCCCTCCCTCCCTCCCTCCTTCCCGCCCCGCGGGCACACCGAGCCCCGCGCGGAGCTGTCGCACCAAGCACCCGCCGCGCTGTGTCCCCCCCTCCCCGCCACCACCGCCACAGCACCCCCTTTCTCCCCCCCCGTCCAAATCCTCCGGACCCGGCGCCGCCGCGCTCAGGCTCCTCCTGGCCGGTGCGGGAGGAGGAGGAGGCGGCGGCGGCTGCTGAGCGGCGTGTGCCGGAGCCAACGGGCGGCGGGGAGCGGGGCGGGCGCTGCGGGGGTGTCGGGGTAGAGCGAGGCGTGACCCGGCTGACGGGCACCGTGCGGCGGGCGCGGAGCCGGACCCGGCGGGAGCGGCGGCACCACCAGCGGCAGCAGCGGCGCGGGGCGTCGGTATCGCTCGGCTCTGGCTCTGGCGCGGCGTCTCCTCCACCCCCTCGTGAGCCTGGGGAACCTGCAGCTCAAAGCCGCCGCCAGCCACACCACCATGTACTCCGGCAACAAGCGGAAAAAGCTCTGGCGGGAGGAGAAAGGTATTATCTCCCTTCCCGGTGCCGGGCCCGTTTCTCCCGCCTTTAACCCCACGCTGAGGCGGGGAGGGAGGGGCGGTCCCGGCGCCCCCGGAGCCGCCGCCTCGCCGCGGGGTGTCCGGCAGCGCTTCCCGCGGCTGAGGGCATAGGGTAGGGAAGCTTGGGAGGTGGGGTGGGGAGATAGCGCTCTCTGCCCTTGTCCTGGGGTCTCTTGGCTGAAACACCCCAAAATTGCGCGCCCCGCCGGCCTCACGGCAGCCCAGGCGTGAGGGAATGGGGGGTGTCCGTCCCCCCCAGCTCGGTAGGACCCCTGAGGAGCGGAGCCCCGGAGCTGAGGGGAGCGAGGGCGGGCGGGCGGTAAACAAGCCCCTCTCCTCAGGGCTTCCCGCCCCCGAGTCACCTTGTGGGAGTGTTCCAGGCCGGAAAGTTGGGCACATGCCCTCAAAACGTGCCTTTCCCTCCTTTCAACGCGTTCGTCTTCCGAGGGAAGATGTGGTTTATTTGAATTGCTGGTGTACTGTGCTTCGGTTCAGCCTCTAGTGTCCCTCAGCCGGGGTGAAGTGTTCTAGGTATGAGGTGTCCTAGCTCCCCCCCCACTCCCGCCCAATACTTCTTTTATATTTTTAATTTTTTTTTTTTTTTTTTATATTCTCAGTTTAAAAAAACCCCAAAGTCAAACTGCAGAGCCTGAAAACTGTGGGCCAAGCATTTAATGCAGACCTCGCTGTTTATGGTACTTTATATCAATCCTGTGGAGAGCAATGTAGAAATTAAGGGAAAAAAAATCAGCCAGTGGAAGTGTGACATTTATATCTGCTAGGAGGAAAGCTTCTTGCCTCGTGTGTTTACAAGTAATGTAGTAATACACGAGGAGAGGATGAAAAAAATACCAGAGGTTCGTATTTTAGTTTCTTTTCTTCTGTCACCCCTGTGACTGTGTGTGTGTTTCAAGCCAAGAAGGCAGAAGACCAGTTCAATGGATAGGGTTCATCCTTCTTGTCTGTGGCAGAAATCGTGTGTACATTTGGAAGGAAAAGTTGTTAAAACGCAAATGAACTGATCTCTCTGCAGGTTAACTCTTTTCAAATGAAGTGACTTTTGTTCCATGCTTTTTTCTTTCAAAACTCTCTTGCAGTCCATGTTTTTGTAGAAAAAAGTAAGGCAACAAACTTCCACCAGACAAAAGTTTCAGTTTTCCACAGGGATACAGGTAGATCTTCTCAGGCGTTGTTTATGTGAGGTCAGCTATAACTGACTTTCCCTTAAAAACTTTCCCTTTTGTATGGTGTTACCTTCAAAAAACTCTGGTTTTGTGCTGGGGCACAGATGGGGAGAGGTTTCTGGTAGGTTCTGGTGAGTGTTCCCATTACTCCCACCTGTCTTTTCCAGCTCTGCTGCTGTCTGTGTGAGTTCATAGCCTGGCAGGTGCACTCAGGCCCTTGGTGAGGAGGGCCGAGTGGAGGGGCTGGAGGGTAAGCTGCAAAGTGGAGCTGCTGGCGCACCTTCCTTGTCTCAGTCAGCTGTGAGGATGGTGGTCTCCATCAGGTGATGTTCAGGGATGCAAACCAGAGCTCCCCACTGCTGGTGAGGTCTTTCCCTCCAGGACGCACATCTGAGTGCTGGCTGGCCAGAACTCACTGTTGCTTTGCCTGGTGTGAATGAATAGAGTTTGCCATTCTTCTGCTCCACTAATTGCTTTCCAGCACCGTGCTGATGGTGCTGGGCCTGGCTATTTGAGTGAGGAGGGCAGAAAAAACTTCACTGTTCACTGCTGGCGTCGCCCTTCAGCTTGTAGCCCTGTGGGACTTGCCAAGTACCTTCTTTACTACAGAGGAAAATTAGAGAAGCCCAACTTCCTTCCTTCCTACCCAGACTGTACTTTGGAAATCAAATCTTTGGTTAGGACTGCCTTCACCTTTCACAGGTGAACCCCTGCAAAGCTGTCTGTGCTCCCTGGCTCTTCTCTTCCCATGAAGCTCTGAGTGCAGTTGCTCTCAGCCTTTTATATTCTGAAGCACCTCTTGAAAAGAAAAAAAGCACCAATTGCTAAATATTGAGTTCAAACCCACTGACAATACACTTGCTTGTCTTAATTACTTTCTTGGTAATTAAGGGTTGGTCCACATCCTCCCAGGGGAGGACTTGCTTGAGGACAGCTGGAACGGAGCAGGACTGGAGTTGATTTCAGAGCCTTAGACACGGCACTGGACTGCCTGCAAACTTCCCAAGTTTCTGCTGCAGGCAGAAAACTGCACTTGCAGCGAAGGCTGTCGGGAGCATCTTCCGGGAGGTTTGTGTATAATTAAGTCTCAGTTTAAGTTCTCGCTGCTGACTCACGGTAGCAAAGTTTTACAGAACCTTTCTGTAGAGAGGAACTCGTGTTTTGAAGGCACAGGACTGGCTCTGTCACCCCTTCAGCAAGAGGCACCCAGAACTGCTCTGTTTGTCAGTCCCTCAGCCCTGACACCCACAGGCACACGCTCCCTCGGGTCTGCCTTCCTGTAGCACTTCTAATCTTTGCGTCAGATACTTGGAGTTTTTTATGCTTGGAACTCAGGTAATGGATTTAAGTGCACATCTCTTGTGCATAATAGTGACCCTGGTCACATCAGCTCTACTTTGGCAGATGTAAATATCCAATTAAGGCATACCCAGCCTGCATAACGGGAGAGAAATGTTTTTGTCAACTGAATAAATTGGTAGTGCTGTCAAAAATAGCAAAATGAACTTATTTCATTATGGGAGCCCATGCTCCAAAGCTGCCTTTGGTTATTAGACTGTGCTGATTGCAGCCTCCATAATTAGGGAACTTCATAAAAAAAAAAGAACCAAAAAACAAGCCACCAAACAACCCAAACCACAGTAAAAGTGACTTTCTTTCTTATTTTTTTACTGTTTCATGTGAGAAGCAGTTTCCGTGTCCAACTCTTTCGCCGCCTCTTCTACTTGAGAAGAAAGTATTCTTTTCACGTCCATCTCGTCCTTTATGGCAAAGGCAAACAACGTGGGTTTAGCCTTGCCTTGCACTCCTAAAAACTCCTGAATCTTCAAAGAGGATTTATTACTGATTAACGTGTCAAAAAAACTGTTAGTGTGGTTTTAGTAGTAACAGTGCCACTTATAAAAACAGATCAGAAGCTTCAGTAGCATATGGGTGTTATGATGCGCTCTACTGTTTTTTTTTTTTTCCCCTTTCCTTTTGGGAGAGGAAAAGCTCTGCATCTTGGGCTGAGCTAATACTGAGCATTGATGTGGGGAGGGAAAAAAGGATGTGGCTGCGAAAAATCAGCTGAAGTGCTGGGGTGTTTTTTTTTTTTCCTTACTGTACAACTTAGTCCATTTATAGAGAGGTCTGAAAAGAGCGAAGCTGGCAGTAGCCATCAAAGTTGTAAATTCTTTGAGGCTTTGCCTTTCATTAAATGTCTGAAAAAGAGAGAGAGTGACTTTCTCAGGAGGAAACAGAAACAACCATCCGTTGGTGTTTTAGTCTTGTGACAAGTGCGTCCTGTTAATGTTCAAATGCAAGTCTCTTCAGAGACTAAACATGCCTTTCTTACCACCTAGAAAGTAACAGAATGTTCGCTCCAGTGGCATTTCAGTGCACCAAGGGCACTGCCCTGGTCACTGCTTGGCTCCTGTGGAAGTTTGCACAACTTTTTTCATGTCTCTTTTCCCTCCCAAACAGAGCGTCTGCTGAAGATGACCTTGGAAGAAAGACGCAAGGAGTACCCGGGGGACTACGTTGCACTGAAAGCTATTCCAACGTGGATGGAAGACTTGAAAAGCAAGAGTGAAAGTGATGGTAAGTAAAGTGGGGGAGTCTCGAAATACAGACTGCTCTGTTTGCTCGGTCTGAAGTTACTCTTAGGAAGGCCAAGACTTAAAACCCGTGTTAGGAGCAGTGACAGCCTAAAATGGGGGCAGTGGCAAAGAAAAAAAACAACAAAATTTCTTAAAGGATCACTGGTGTCCCCTAACTGCAGGTATCCCCAGGTGGAGTCAATAACCCTTAAGTGTGTAAAACAGCTGGTCTCTGCAGGAATCTTACTTTTCAGATTCAGCAGTCAGCTGTGCCTAAGGAGCTTTGTCTTTGCAGCTTAGTGAGCACAGTGATCTGGGGAGTCTGGGCAAAAACAGTGTTGTGAGTGAGTGAAAAACAGAGGGGAAGTGTACAAGCGGTGGTGTTTTCTAAAAATCCAGAAATGGGAGGAGATTGGGTTTGAAGCCTGTTTTACTTTTGGTCCTGCCTGCTTTCTGAGGCTGAGGAACATCAGCCTGGCCTGGATTAACTCCCAGTCTGTTGGTGTGAGCAGCCTTATCGTGGTTGTGATCACCAGGAGAGTTGTCTAAATACTTGCAGTGAGGACTGACCAGAAGGGAGAATCCTACTCACTTAGAGAGTTCTGTCCTCTGTGAGTAATTCTGAAACAGTGCCTGGTTCTTTGTCTACTTCCCTTTCATCCACACAAGGGCGTGGAAGTTTAGGGATGACTTCTGAGCTGGTTTCCTCCTCGTCTTTTCTTTCTGTGCATTGTTATCCTATGTGGCTGAAGCCTGTGTTTTTGTGGAGGAGCATTTAACCAGGAGACCTGAAGTGTTTTGTACTTCTGCAGATATAGGGCTGTTTTTCTGACCCTTTTGTTATCATTTAGAGCAAAGACTGGCCTGTGAACAGGTGTATGGAGTTGTCTCGTGGCTGCAGGTGGACATGGTCTTTTATGGTAAATAATCCAGGTGAGATGAGGCCTGGAGCTCATCAGCTGCTTTTAATAAAATGGGAAGGCTGTAGCACTTATTTTAGCACAATCTGGAGGAGCTGACAGATCTGCAGATGTCCTTGTCATAAACAGCCTAAGCTCTTGTCTGCTCCTAAAAGCACCTGGAATGACTTTTGCAGTGAAAATATGTCAGAGGTTGCTGAGCTCTTCAGCGCTGCTGGGGAGCTGAGTTACATCAGTACTTACAGACCTCTTTTTCCCTTTTATATCTTACAGCATCAGAAAGCCTGTCCATCTAGAAATCAGAGGCTGCATAAAAATAAAATATATTACCTGACTTCCTCTGAGTTGATCTCAGAGGCCTGTGGTGTGTGGGAATATGCAGCACGTCAGGAGGTTTAACTGGGAGACTCTTTATCCCTTCTAGCCCAAGCTGTGTTTTCCTTGCAGCCACTCTCACATTCCCTCTGAAGTGCTGATATTCACAGGTCTGGTATTACTTGGGCTGCCGAAGGTGACAAGGTGTGGGTTTACGTTGTGATTGGTGTTACACTTCACAGAGGCGAAATGTCAGTGTCTAATCTGTGGGTATTGAATCGTGGCAGTGGTGAATTTATTTTCTTGTAGCCGTTCCTGCCTTCTCTCTGTTAGTGCCCAGTGCACTGCAAAAAAAAAAAAAAATGCTGGAAGGCAAGAGTTGTGCTTGAAACACTTCTCTGCTACTCGAAGCTTTTGTTATATTGTACATTCAGGAGGAAATATCTGTAGTCACTTGTTGTCTTTGATGTATTTGTTGTAAATAAGCCATGTGGAATAGTGAACTCGTGGAAGGCTGGGCTGCTGAAAGGCTTCCACCTTCCAAGTGATCAAGACAATTAGAAGAAATGTGTGTATTAATGGGACTCCAATTGCATGTGTTTCAAACTTCCCTTAAATGTTGACCCCACTTGAAGGCGTTGAGGGGTTTGCAAGAACTGTCTTTTTGAGGTGAAATACAGGAAAACTAGGATTTCAGTCTTGCTGATGGGGACTTCTGCTCTGTGTACTGGGACATGGAGAGCGCAACAGGTGCAGCCTGAGTGAGGCTGGGGAGGGAAGTGAGGCCCCAGGTGGGATGGAATTGGTGATGACTTGACAGTGCCATGCCCAGCTTCTCATATTTTCTTTTATTGACATGTGTCTGCTTGCACTGACAAACTGAAGAGGAGGAAAAGGATAAAATCCTCTGTATTACTTGTCAGGCCAAAACAGCAACTGATGGGGAATGTGGATAAAATTCTTTACCATTTACTTCCAAACAGTAAAAAAAAAATGACAGATTGATTAGTAAAGCATGGAGTGGCTGTTCAGGAAGAGTGATGAGGAGAAATCAAGAAAGCAACCAAGAACAAATCAAGTGAAGCAGGAGCAATCAATCAGCTGCTGGAGTAAGAAGCTGCAGGAGAAAGGCAGAGCATCTGGGCTGGCAGTAGTCCCTGTAGATACTCAGTACTCAACTGGAGATTAAGACTGCTCAGTAGTGCGCAGATTTGTGTGCTGGCCGTTAGGGAAAATATGCTGTTAGGAACAGCACAAAACCTTCATGTAAATGTGAGTGACTTGCTGGGGGGTGTTGGGAGCTTGCAGGTTGGCACACGTCCTTGTCACGTGGAAGTTGAACAGAAGATGACTGTAAGGTCTGTGCGTGGAACTGCTCAAAGTGGAATGACTTTAAAGGGTCGTGTTGGGAAGGAACCAACCTCACTGCTCTTCACTGACAGGTTTGGAGAACACCCTGTAGTTTGTGGAAGAAGGGTTTTTCCTCACCCCTCCTCCTTCACCCCTTGATAGGAAGTTGTGTTCAGAACTGAATTCTGAAGAGAATTGGTAAAACTTGGAGTAAGTTCGTGTTTTGGCAAGGCTGGTGGTCTTTGAGTAAGGGAGGGATGTGTAACTATGTAAAGCTTCCTGAGCAGCAGAGTTAGGGCGTTCTGAATGGCAGCTGACAAAGGCTTTGTCTCTTTTAGAACAGCAAAGGTGTTTGAAAGCATTTGGGAGTCGAAAGCAGCAGTGTCTGTGTTAAAATGCTCTTCTGTGGGTAAAACTAAAACAAACCCCCACACTGTTCTGCAGGTCTCCTCATACGGACAGAAGTAGCTGTAAAGAATTAAGTCGGTGTGTGTTTTGGCCTGGAATTCGGTCCATGTTTGTGTTCATTCTTCATTTTGGGAGGAGACTGGTGCAACGTGGAATGCAGAGACTAAGGCTGGTGCCCTCTTCTCTGGGCTGAGGGAAGGGGGTGTGACTGTGCTGTCAGGATCCCTGGATTTTGGGTGTGCCAGGAGACACAAGTGCGTCTCAGAGATCAGCTGTTGTAACACAGCAGTGGAAGGAAAAGGGACACTTAGTGAAAAGTGGCCCTCTTCAGTGTCATAGGGGATGGTAGAAAGGCAGCATTTTTGTTCTTTGTGTAGTTCTGTAAACATAAGCTTTCTTTGTTTTAACTGCATTTATTAAAGAAATGAGCAGTTGCCCACTTTGGAAACAAAGAACGAGCTTGTAGAGGGCTGGATGCTGTGAATACACTGAAATCCATCATTCTTCCCACTTCTTATCCTTCAGATACACCAAATGCAGGCACCTCATCTGTTTCCTTACGTACTTGGAAGCAGAGTCCCTTCCTGACAACATGTGAATAATGGACTTGTTTTCTGAAGCTTTGGGATTTATATCCCTTTGTTTCAATGATATTTATTACCCACCCCTCTATGCTGGGCACTCACCTTGTACAGCAACAGGAGCTAATGTTGCTCAGTGAATAAAACACCACCACACAGACTCACAGCTGGAGCGGGTTTTGAAGTTAAATACATGTATTAGCTTTTTGTTGGGTACACAGCAATTGCCAAAGGTTCTCTGCAGAGATGACTTCAGAAAACTTTGTCTTGAAAGCTTCTTGAGAAAAATCAGGGCCTTGGGAATTTCGTTGTCGCCGAGTTTTGTGTGCCACTGGTAGAAAAAAACCATTTTGCTGCATTAATTGGGCAATTCAGAAAATGGAATGAATTTTATCTAGCTGAACTCCAGGCAGCTGAGAGCCCTGATGACTCTCACAGCCTCTGGAATTGGTTGGTATGGCAGTGCTGCCAAGAAAACAGCAAGTTCAGGTGCTGGTTTAAAGATCTTTGCTGATGATAAGACCTGATTTTGATTGGATGGAGTTAAAAGGGAAGGGCACAGTAACTATGTTTTTAATTTTTGTTTAAGATGTAATGACATAAAAGGTCTGCAGTCCCCATTTTTTAAGCAAGTCTCGGAATATGTTTAGATGTTTTGGCAGCTTCTGTGTCTTTTTAATCTGCTATTTTTTTAAAGACAATGATATGGTTCAAAGTGTATTCAAATTAATCTACTTTAACACTGAGGGGTTTATGTATAATAATTAGGTCTGGATTTAATAAAAGCATCTTTGCACTGTGAATTTGTAGCTTTCTAAATATTCCCGGTGGGTTGACACAAGATTACAGAGACAAAGCATCAGGGTGAGCCACTCAAAATGCTTCATGGTGGAAGGAAAATGTGTGGTCATACTGGGCTGTGACCAGCAGTTCTTGAGATGGGTAACTAAGCATAGGTAATATAATATAATGTTTAGTGTGGGTATCTGTCCTGCAGGAAATGGGAATCCAGGTGAATATTATCAAACTGACCTTGGACAGTGACACCGCTGCTGAGGTGCAGTGCAATCCAGCCAGATGTCTGCAAGTGAGAAATAACATCTCTCTAAACCACTCATGATTTTCAGTGACTTACCCAGAAAAAGAAATTGTGCTCAACTAGAACATAAAGATTGATTGTCGGGCAAGTTACGACAATGAGTTTTCTGTAATAGCTGTGTGAAACCAGAGTGCTTCAAGACCATCCCCCCACCAAGAACCCGAGTCCATCAGCTTGCATTGTGGGTTTTTGGTCTTTTTTTTCTTCCAATGACTTTAACAACTGTCTTTATAACACATTTTTAGCTGAGTGACAAGGAGGAAAGTAAATGGAGATATCTTAGCTCGGCGTGGTGCCTTTTGTCTGTCAAAGGAAATGGTGCTTTTGC